AAAAATTACTTGGGCTATATTTTTCTTAAGAAAAAGAGGATTATTTAATAGCCTTTTCAAAATCATAAAAACAGTATAGGACTCTGTGACATTTAAGTAATGGGTCTTAAAAGAAAATTCTGAATTTTTTCACTTCTGAAAGAGACAGATTTTATTCAGATATTCAAATGCCTAAAATCCATAAAGGCAAAAGACATAATTAAATTAAATGCTATGAAGTTTCAAAAGTCCACTATTAATAAGACACAGGACCTATCTAAGAACTACTATTGATTACGTGAAGCCATATACATGAGATTTTTTAAATGTGAAAATGTTAGAGGAAAAACTATATTTTCACAACATTTTGCAATCTGCTATAATCTGAGAGAAAATATTAACTACTAGCTAATTGTATTCATCTCATCCCACTAATATGGCATCTGTTAGAGTTGAAAAAACTCCCATCAAGGTACTGAATACCATAAAGGCAATACAGAGAAGAGAAACAGGCACAATTCACATGGATGTTTCTTTGGAAAATAGGAAAATGGCAATTGTATATGATAAATAAAATTTCTTATGGTATAGGGAGAAGGAAATAAGTTATTCTTTTTGAAAGAATAATATGACCATTTGCACAATGAAGTCAGGGGATATGGAATACATGTACCCTGTATGGGGAATTTGGCAAGGGGAAGCTGAAACTAAAGCCAAGCAGATTCATGAAAGCCCTAAGCCAGTACTACTGGTCACTACTGGAATTCAAGAACTTCTTTCATTCATTCCTGGTTTATTTTTAAAAGAAAACAAATGATTTAAATAAAACATTTAAAACCAATATCAATGGATAATAGTGTTACATTTCAGGGGAAAAATAGAGTAATGAGATCCCTGAAAAACTAAAAAAAACAAAAAAGCCTATTTGGTTTTACCAGATCATGGTCCCTAGCTCCAGCTCCAGGAATCTTGCTTAATAACCTCATTTCCTAGGGATGTCTTCTGCGCAATTTGGTGGATTAAAAAGAAAGCACGCGCACGCACACACACACACACACACACACACACACACAATCCCTGCATTTTCCCAGTGAAATTGTGCTATTTGAATCAAGAACTAGGAACATGTATAAATGCAGTCATTCTTTGTATGAAGGTAGACCCTTAGAGTCATTTTCTTAATGCTACTTACTGTTATCTTCCTTTGGGGGATGAAGAATGTGCTGACCATTCACTAGCAGTGTATTATTATTGTCATTATGAATCCATTAGATATATTCAGGTGAGCTAAGTAACAGCCGTGTGAACAATTTCTTCTTCTCTTGCTTTTAGTATATTATTTGATAGAATACAAACTGTTCCTTATTTACTTTTTGCCTTTGGTAAAAAGTCCAAGAAAATAGAAAAGTCCTTTTCTCTGCCCTTCGTTATCAATAGAAGTGTTGGGTGTGGCAATGAGTTTTGAGAATCTGCATTTGTGTCATTTATTAGAATAACCAGTAAAAAACACAGCTCTACTTGTTAAATAGAGTAGTGGTACTTAATGAATCTGTAATATCCCCACTAAATATGCATTTAGGGGAGGCATGAAGGAGTCTAATGCTTAATAAAAGTAAACAGTTTCTAGTGGAAGCTTTTCTATAAAAGGTATACAACACACACCTCAACACAAAGAGATACAAACACTAGTTTGCAAAAGAGACATGTAGTACGGTGGCAGGATCTTATTTGAGTTTGAAAGTTATCCTTGAAACACTTTACCATAAAGAGGTCCTGACTAATTTTCACCCACCTTTCATTACCCAATGGCTTTCTTGGGCCATGGGAGCCTGTTTAGTATACCCAGCACAGGTTATTGCAAAAAGCTAAATGTCCTTCCTGTCCAGCAGCCCTCAACCAGTGATGGAGAGAAGCTGTTGCAAGGGCTTCAGGTCCCTCAGTCCCTGAGTAGGGTTCCTCTAATGTGTGTGTTTTGCACTTGCTTCCAGCATCTCTCCAGTATGAAGTTCCACTTGTTCACCATGGCAACTACCATTACTGGATTCCCTTTCTTATTTCCATACTCTCCCATTGAAGAATCCTTCATCTCCAAAATAAACCACTGTTATTCAAAACTTGGTTTCACAAACAGCCAAACTGTTCATGAACAGAAGAACTCAAACTAAAACATAATGTCAAACATATTATATTTAACTTAGTAACTGATGAACATTCATCATTTTAACCAAATCCTTATGTTCAAATTAGATATAATTTTGCTTATACGAATTTTTTATTATGGTTCAATGTGTTAAATACTTCAATGATCTACCCACACAACAGAGCTAAAACTGTGAGTATGAAATGTAGCCATATGTTTGCATGAAAATCACACCAACCAAATTAACATACTAAATTCACCAGCAGTATTTTCCAGTTAAACTGTTTTAAGCTTTACGATGCGATCCTTCGGATGCTTCAAAAGAAGTAACCAAAATATTAAGAAAGTGTTTCTGTCTGACAATTATGGAAATGCTGCCAATAGCTGTCCATCAATCTTTTAATTTTCTAGTATCTATCCCCAAATGGGAAAGACATGGTCAAAATATTTTACTTATTTTTTAAACTTTAAAAAAAGATCAGACATTTTAAAGTCTGTTGGATATAAATCCACCAACCATCTAGGAAAATGACTCCTTTCATGACTCAATCAGAGGTTCATCGAAAATTCAGCAGAAATCTAAGACTTCAAGCTGCCATCCCCACTCCTGTTTCCATGGGAATAGGCTTCAGATCAAGAAGGAAAAAAAAGTAGATGGGGTTAGGAGCTTTCAAATAATCATTCAAAATCATGATGAGGTTTTTAAAGCTTCTTTTTCAGGTGATTATTTTGTAGCCTCTTAACCCCCTTTTGCCAGTCTGTTTCCATGGAAATATGACAAAAATGGCTGTCCAAGCCTCCAGCAGAGATATTAGCATTCTTGTGAATTTCAGCTTTGGCTGCAGCCTAGGCTGGGTAAGATCTTTTTTTCTATCACTTTGATATATTAACCTACACTGGTTTTACTTACTGTAATTTCTCCTTATAATTTCTACTTTCTTCAAAAACTCCCTTCACAAATATCTAGCTATGATCAAGATCAAATTGAATAAGTGGTACATCACTGAAAAAGGCTTCAGTTTTAACTTTTGTACATAAGCCAAGACATATAGCTGCAGGACGTGCCAGAATCTTTAGAGACCCACAGAAGAAAACATTATTTAGTTACTAGACCTGATATTTATTAGATAGTTTTGGGAGATATGCAACAAGGCTAATATTTAAGTTAGTTAGCCAGTAGTAAGGCACATTATTAACTGTTCAGAACACCTATTCATACAAGCTGAGTAATGTTGCTACTATGTAATAACCAATGATAAATTAAGCTAAAAGTAGCCTTATATAAGGTAGTCAGCATTATACTCAAATAAATTGTTCAAGGTCACAGACTGAGATCCTGTAAAACTTTTCAGAAAAGCTTTCAAGAGAAACTGGGTAGGAATATATAGCAATCCATCTATTAAAAAAAAATCAAAGCACATATGCTCGCATCATTTTTCACCTAAAGGTCATCTGAAAATCAAAATCATTCTTATTAATGAAGAAATTATGTTAAAAGATACAGAAAGAACATATATGGATATTTGCTAGAACCCCTGGCAAGATATCTTGTGTTGAATATGAAAAATAACAGCGTGCTACATATGTAATTTTATTCCATCCTACTCTCTGAAATTTGCTGAGCAGTTCAATCTACAATTTTTGCTAGAGAAAATCTTAAAGTTCTGATTGACCTCATATAATACTTCCATTCTTGAGCACTGTTATTCTATAGTCACAGCTTTAACTATAGAGTCCTACCTTCTGAATTTGAGTTGAAAAAATAAAATTTAAAGTGGTAATCATTAGATTCAGACAGATTCCTAATTTAAATTTAGCAGAGATTAACATACTGTAGAAACTAATCCTGTGTTTTTTTTTATAACTAAATAGATCATTGCTATAATAAAGTAAGGCAATCAGTCAACTAATTTTTCAAATCATCCTCACTAGTTTTAGAATGCAGTCTGTCATCGTAGTTAAACACACAGTCCTAGAAAGCAGGATTAACTCCCAAAACAAATCTGGCCCACACTTGTTTGTATAAATGAAGTTTAACTGATACATCCATTTATATTTTATATTATTCTGTTTTGTCTTAATTACCTATGACTACTTTCTTGCCAAAAAGGGCAGAATAGGTACCACACTGCAGATATGGGATATAAATCCTGTTGATTCTCTGGCTTACTGGGAAAATATTTGCTCATCCCTGCTCAACCCTGGCTACCTGAATCCAATGCCTAGATGAGCCATCTCCTAACTTTGAGATCTTGGGTTGACTTTGGATTTACCTGGACTGTTGAGCTGACAGGATTAGATGAACTTTTTTTTAGGTAAATTATTTATAACATAGTGTAGCATTTACTAAACACTTCATTAATATTAATTACTTCCGAGAACAGTGTTTGGCATTTTGTAAGCACTTTGTACATATTAGTGATACACCTTTGCCACTACCACATAGTCCTAAGTGTGTTCAGTGAAACTAATTTTAAGAAATATGTTTATGATGCCCAAATTTTGAATAAAAGTAGTGATTTACAGTCATTGAATATGTTTTCTTTTCAAATTATGTATTTTTTTTCCTTTAAAAGATATTTGAGTACTTAATATTATAATATGAAAATGTTACATGTCTGATTCACAGAAGACAATTCACCTTGGGTATTGTAAGTAACTTCAGATTCCAAAGAGGTTTTTGTTGCACTATGTAGGCAGATGGTTGCAAACCAGAAGTTATCAAAAATTATATAATGATATAAAATGGTCTTGAAAATTTTTTAATTGTAAAATTATATCATTTTCTGAAAAGAAAGTTTAGAAGTTGTGGGGATTTTATTGTTTTAACAGTCTATTTGATAATGGAGAAAACTGTGATTGACTGGGTGCCTATACTTACATCCATGAACTCCACATTGGCTTTGGGACCAGTCGTCTCATTGAGAATCTTAATAGCCACAGGAATCTTCACTGTTTCTCCTTCAGGTACCCAAATGCCCTTTCAAGAAAAATAATATTCACATTAAATCCATAGTAAGATATGGATACTAAATATAGCAGAAATAAAATTTAATTTAATCACTCAATCTACTAACTCTTAAGCATAATTATAGATTCTATGTTTTTCATTCAATGAACATTTATTTAGCACCCGTTATAACAAGATACTCTGCATCTTTTTGATCTGCTTTCATTTTTGAAGATGGATAAAACATGCACTCTATGTCAAGTTGTCTATACTACTATCAAATTCAACTTGTGGGCATGAGAAAAAGCTTTGAATAGTGAAGAAAACACTGAAGCAGTATAGAAGAGCAATATCTGATTTGGAAGATATTTTCAGTCTTCTATTTTTTTAATATATTCTCAACTCTAATTTAGAAGATTAGGCTAAGAAATGTTGAAGGTTCTTTTCAGCTTTAAGGTATCTATTCTGCAACTATTCTGAACTTTTTCAAGTTCATAATGAATTTTAAAAGGTGATTACTTTAGAATTAGTGTTCAGACACAAGTGCTAGGGATTACTGCACAAATATTAATTTTCTTATCATTCCCCATGTGTATATGAAGGACTGTTATTATCTTTGAGGTAAATATAAAATATTTAAATTGGCCATTGCTAATTCTCTCTTTTCTTATCAACGTGTAATTGTAACATTTGAACAGAATCTATACATTGGGAAAGTATAAAGTTGATAGAGTTTGAGTAAAGAACACCATCAAGCTAAATAGCATTTCTACATGAATTTAATTCAAACACTTAAATGACGACAATTATTTTGATAGGACATATGAAAATGCTTGGATTATATAACAATATTTTCTTAAAAAAACATATTTTCCCAAATGAACACAGAAGCAAATGCAAGGTTATGAGAGAAAAATAAAAATTCCCAAATTATAATTCTGTAGCCCTAACATAAAAAATATTATGCAATTTTAACATTAAAATGAAAGAATAAAAAATATTCATTACTCCTGAATAGAATATCTACATTTCCTCTCTTTCTTGATATCAGCTGCTTGTATTCACATCACTTTGAACATCCATGCTAAAACATACATAATTGTACTATTCAAAGTTGTAATAATATGAGGAGACCTAAACACAGAATTGTTTAAAAAAATAACAATAATAGAAGCAAAAAAAAAAAAAAAGAAAAAAAAAACCCAAAACTACTTTGACCTTTAAAAGGTAAATTTAGAGTTATGGTTTTCCTAGTCAGAACCAATAGGGAAATTTAAATATCAAATGCAAAATAATAGGCTAAGCTCCTTATGGTATAAAATTAGGAAAAAACAAATTAAATCAGAAATGGAAAAAAGTAAGTAAAAGCCCAGGACATGCGAACCTATATTTTCACACTGATGGTATCTAGGGTAGAGAACATAATTATCATTATTCTATAAAATGACCACAGAATGTGGTACTTTATTAAGTCACAGCATCAATATTAAGGTATTCCTAAATAATACTTTTAAAATAAGAATATAAATTCAGTGTGAATTAATTTTATTGCTTTGGAAATAAGTATGGTTATTATTTTCTAAGGCTGTCCAGATAAAAATTCAACTATGCTGATACCTATGATATTGGTTCTAATCTTTCATGCTTACACATAGTATATCTCCATTTTGGAGGAAAAATTACTAAATAATTGGTTGAGCAATTTGCATTTCTGTAGTCAAGAATAATCCTTTATACTTTAAGCTTAGAACTACTGATATATTGATTAAAACCTAGGACCAACCATTCACATGCCAAGCATAAAATTCAAACAAACTTATGGAACTTCTAATAAACTTTAATTACAATTAATTTCAGTAAAAGGAAACATTCATGAACAACAGAAAAATAATTAGTGTTAGTAAAAATACTGATGCAGCTTTATTATTAAATATTTAAATGTGTAGTATTTTTCCCTGCTGAGGTCATCAGATAGTATTTAGTCCTAAAGTATCATGTCTCCATGGTTTAAAATAAATTTTAATTCCTGAACTATATAATAAGAAAGAGTGTGATTATACTTTAGAACAATCCAATAAGTAATTTTAAAAAGGGAAGTGTCTTTTAATACATTTAAAGTTAGCATGTATCTCTTGTCTATCTTCTCTATATACAAACAAATCTGCTAATTCACATTAAACTTTGTCAGTGTAAATGCAGAATTGTTAAAACACCAATACTTAAGAGAACAAAGCTCTAATATATTTCTATTGACTTATCCTATGGCTAAGCACAGACCCTTCAGTCATATCTATGGATATAGAGAATTGAAGCAATTACCAAATAATTCTTGTGGGAGAATCCTGCAATAGATGATTAGAATGGGGATTTATGGTAGCTAAGTGATCCAGAATGACTGTCAGTATTAATCCAATTCACTGTATTACCTTTAACTTGCCAATTTCTAAATTCATGACTGGAATTTATGATTATACATATATTAATCCAAAAAATTTGCTTGATGCTATTTAACATAGATACAAAGATTGGAAATATTAAACTTATAAATTAAAATTGATATATTATGTAGATTAAAAATGTAACTGTATGTAATTTTAAGTCCAAGTCCATCTTTTCTATCACAATATAAATAAATATGATGTTATTTTTCAGACGAGATCGGGCGCGTTCAGGGTGGTATGGCTGTAGACAATGATGTTATTTTTCTTTGAACATAGAAAGAATTTGAAGATTAGAAAGGCATCACATCATCTAAAATAGTGCCTATGCAAATTAAGTGCCCAGTTAAGAAATTCAAGTTTAATTGAACAAATTATACACACTAACAGATTTTGAAAACTTCTGCATCTTGGCCTTATAATAGAGTTATAATTCTAGAAAGATGAAATTATTTTGGAACATTCAGCAGAGAAAAATAAGGTCTATATTCTAACTTGTAATATTTTCTGTTAAATAAATCATGATCTTACTAGGCAAAAAAGAAACATTTTAAAATGTAAAACTCCTAAAATCAAATCTAATTTAGTTAATATGTTTGTAAGTATGTAGGCTTGCACATAGCTTTAAGGAAAATATTAAACTGTAGATGTAAATTTTGTAAATTGTAATAATGAATTACAAGAAGAATTCAGCACTATCCTAGCAGAGTTTCTTATTCTTGTTATTTACCATTAAACAAATTTCACTACAATTAACCTCTGGCCTGGCCTCTGAATTGGTCTTATAATTAAGCTAAATAAGTAAACATACAAATGCTATCATTTGAGCTTTTCCTTTCCAGAAATCCCTCTCATTGAAAAACCATGTTGTTATCCATTTCCTCCTAACTGACCTGAATTTCTCATATAAAGTCAACTTTAGTTTGCACAGAATGTCAGCATCAAGACTATAAACATTAACCACTAAATCATATATGTAAACAGGTAAGCAAAATATGGTTTAGGATCTAGATGTATCCTATTTATATATAAGCACATCCATATGAATTCCAAAGAGATCAATCAGGTAAATCCTGGAAAAGGATTCTTTCAGTTAAGAATGAGAGAAGAGCAAGGGATTATGGTTCATTGCCTGGGCAGGTCTGGGATTTCATGGAGCACTGTGTAGGAGGAAAGGGAAATGCATTGGAGCTGGGTATTTTGGATACAAAAGGAAATTCAAAGGCAGGGTGATATTGAAATGGGATCACTATAGTTGCTCATGCCTTTAATCCCAGGAACTCAGGGAGGTGAGGCAGGAGGATTGCAAATTGGTGTCCAGTGTCAACAATTTAGAAAAGCCCTAAGCAACCTAAGGAGACCCTGTCTCAAAAATAAAAATGACTGGGGGTGTAGTTTTGTGCTACCCCTACCCCTCTACCCCTGGGTTAAATCACCAGTACCAAAAAAAAAAAAAAAGAAAAAAGAAAAAAAAAAGAAGAAGATGAAAGGAAGAAAAAAAAAAAAGGATCAGAAAGGCCTCTAGAGCAAGAACTCTATTTGCCTATCTCTCAAGACTCTATTTATCCCAGCTTGTTCAATAAAAATTAATGAATTCATTTGTGCAGCAACTTCTCAATACTATAAAGGTCCTCCTCTCTGAATATTAAAAGGAAATTAGGTTGGCTAAAGTAATTACTTTAGCTATTATTTTTTTAAAAGGCTGAAACAAAACTTAAATAACTGATAGTAAGCGTTGTTTTGTACTTACTTTATAAACGGTTCCAAAAGCACCTGAGCCAAGGACTTTTACTCTTTTGAGTTCAGTTTCTTTCAAAATACGAAGCTGAGCTTGGTTGGGTGCTGTACCACTGGGAGTCAGGGGTTCCACCAGCTGCAGAGTAAATTGATAAAAATTATATAACTTTCAACTCAGTAATCATTCCTGTTCTCAATCCCTCTCCCCCCATTTTCTCTCTCATATAAAAATTCAAACAAACTTTATACAGCAAACAAAACTTTTATGATATGAACCACTCACCACCACAAACACACATTTAGACATTCCTTTAGACCCTATCCTTTCTCTTCTGCTCTTCACCTAGATGAATTCAAGAAACAAATGTGTTCTACCTTGAGACATGGTAGACTAGGAGACAAGGTGCATAAAAAATAGAAATGCTGTCTTTTTAGAGCTCAACATCTATCTGGGCAACTAGGACAAACGTGTCAGAAGAGGGAAAAGCACACATGCTGATTCCCTATGACAGAGCTTCTAAAACTGCAGTGAGTGCATTAATCACCCAAGGTTCTTATTGAAATGCAGATCCTTGTTCAGAAAGTCTGGATTAGGCCTGAAAATTTGTGTTTTTACAGAACTCCAGGTGGTAACTATGTAAGAGGATGGTCTTTAAACACATTTTAAGTAGCAAGGCCCTACTGTATCTTCTCCATTAAAAACATAAATAAAAATTTAAAAATTGATGATTTGATTCAAGATCATAAGTGAATACTATGGAATGCAAAGGAATAAAATCACCTTTAGGGACTGAGGCTCATCAATCTGGGTTCCTAAAGGACATATGCTTTAAGACCATCTTGTGATAAAGAAAATGGATTGGCATTGGGAGGGTACTATCATGGTGGGGAAGAGTTTGGGCATAGCATTAGGAGAAGGAGGAAGACATGGAGGAACCCATGAGGGAATGAGACAGGTCTGAGGATGAGATTAGAGTGGGAGATGCCAGGTCATAAAGTGGGCTGGTTGGGTATAGCCAAAATGTAAAATCAGGCTGACAGTTTTAGATGACACAGTTGAGAAGTGATCCAGCAAGAGAGGATGGATGAACAAGGGAAAGCTGTGTGAATGGCTGCTGATCACTTGCACGTGTGAGAGAAAAATTGTCCACAGTTGTCACGTGTTATGCACAGTTTCACTGTTGGAACTTTCATTTACCAGTGGTCAACTGTATTTGGAAAATGTTAAATGGAAAATTCCCAAAATAAACAATTCATAGTCTTAAAGAACTTTTATTAAAGTATGTTCTTATAATCCACTTTATTATTAGTAACCATTATTAATCATTCACTGTGCCTGATTTATAAATTGAAGTTCACAGAGTTATGCATATATAGGATAAAACACAGTATAGGGAGAGAGGGAAGAGTTAGTACAGTCCCTGGTTTCCGAATCCAGGCATCCCAAGGTCGGGGGGAGCTTGGAAAGTATAATGCATGGATAAGGTGGGACAACTAATGCACATAAGGGAGAAGCTGGGTATCAAAAGGCTTATATCCTTTGTTAAAATGTTTGGTTTAATTCATGCTTGAGGCAAAAAGCAAGTGAGAAAAGTAGGACTTTTTTTTTTTTTTTTCATTTTTAAGTTAAGGATCTAAACTTTAAACAAAGACAAATAGCCTGTTTTTTCTCTGCATAAGGAAATAATTAAGGGCTACTCCTACTCAAATTGTCTTGAAACAACCACAGTATTTCAAAATGTCTGTTTACAAGACTAAGTGCACTGTGGCCCTCCAGCATGGGTATTATTATCATGCTTCTGTGAACATGATAGCCTACTTAATTAGTGGAACAACAGAGTCCTGAATGTAGGTAAATGTAGCAGTAGCAAGAATTTTAGAACAAACATATGAAAAATTATCAATAAATTTAGGTTATTTTCTAATAGGTTGATAACTAATCTGGTTATAATTACATTCAAGTTGCATTTAAAAAGACTCAGAAAAAAATCACTAGATTTGTTCAATGTGAAAAAAAATCTCCAGCAGAGATTTCCCTTCACTTGAAGACAACTACATTAGAGGGAGTTGTTTGATAGATGTGGATACACACCATGTGTATGATGAGTCACTTTACTGAATCACTTTTAAATATTACATACAAAAGTGATATGAAATCATGCAAAATTGGGAAGGGAGTTTCAGCATTTTGAACTAGCTGAAATATATATTAGATATATATGTCTTGACATATAGCATGCAATAATTTCTTATTTTGAAAAATGCGGAGTTCTACCTGAGATAGTCTATACATTTTGTTTATAATTGCTAAGTTACAAATGTATTGTCACTTAAAATTTTATACAAATTTATTTTTCTAGAAATTTGAATATTATTTCTTTAAAAGGAGCATATTTTCATTTTATGAGCCAGCAGTGATATGGTAGAAAGAGCACTGAATTTAAATTTAGAGGACTGTACATCAGTGCCACTACTCACAGACTTAAAAGGCAATTTATTCCCCTTGGCCCCTCATTTCCCACCTGTTAAATAGGTATAGCAATAATCAAGTGAGAGAGCTGCTAATGGATGAAATGGGACAGTACTGTGGAATATTCTGGAACATTTCCTGACATATTATAGGCACTGAATATATCATTCTTCAAGGGATAGGATCATGTCTCATTAATACATTTTTTAATCAAATCACCTACCAAACATGAAGCTAAAAAATCTGTGCTTTGAAAAAGTATCTTTTTAACTTTTATGCATAAGATAGAAGAAAACAAATCTGGAGAAAAATGATCTGGGATAGCATATCAATTTTAAGTATATTCCAACAATATATTATCCTTCCAAAACCTTTCCATTTTGTTGGAAAGTTCTAGTTTCGGCATTTAAGGATTCAAATTGATTCTCTTAAAAATTTCTTTTTAGATAGTGGTCAAAAATTACAATAACTTATTTTACTGAGAGAAAGATGGGGAATGCTACAATTAATTAATCAGCAAATGTAAAATAATTTGGTCCAAAACAATAAATTTCTTTCTTTTCTTTTCTTTTTCTTTTTTTTTTTTATTTTTTTATTTTTGTGGTGCTGGAGATGGAACCCAGGGCCTTGTGCATGTGAGGCAAGTACTCTACCAACTGAGCTATATCCCTAGCCCCAAAACAATAAATTTCTTTACAAAATAAAATCCATTATAAAACCAATACACATGTGCTGATTTAGCAAGGAGATGACAACTTGAAGGACAATCTTAGCACTAGCACTGCATTAAAAAAAATAAAATAAAGCAATACAACTTTGGCATAATAATGGAAACTTCTTACACATGGTTAAGAGACTTTCTCTTCTATTTATTTGACACCTAAATATCCACTTCTGTTAGAAGTCTTAAGTTCCTTTCCAACTCTGTCTTACTTTACTTTTCAGAATTCTCTTACCAATTGCCCCAAGCTGCCCATGAGGGGGACTTCTGCCTGCCTATAGTCTTCTAGTTAACTTGAAACACGTATAACATATGTGTTTTTTCCTACCTTTCATTCACATATACATGGTTGAAAGTAATCAAGTGATCTGTAAATATCCAGTTAATGTACACATTACTACTATGTCTTCTCACGTACACTACTTGACTATCTTTATCGTGCTTAAATAAGTGCATTGAGAAGAAAGCTTATTCCAGTTTAGAAAACTCCAATCCTTAGAAAGTGTTATCTTGAACGTTGCTGTAGTTTCCTGATTCTTTCATATTATTCTCCTATCTAGTTTCAACTTCTGAAGGAAAAGAGCTATGATTAAAATCATTAGCAGCATGCAAAAGGTATATAAGAATGAATATTCCCAGCCAGGCGCAGTGGTATAGGCCTGTAATCCCAGCAGCTCGGGAGGCTGAAGCAGGAGGATTATAAGTTCAAAGCCAGACTCAGCAATGGCGAGGTGTTAAGCAACTCAGTGAGACCCTGTCTCGAAATAAAAAACAAAATAGGCTGGGGATGTGACTTAGTGGTTGAGTGTCCCTGAGTTCAATCCCTGGTATCTCCCCCTGTATCCCCCCGCCCCCCGGAAAAAAAAAAAAGAATGTATATTCTCATTCCTATGTTAAGAGGAAAAGCCAGACTGCCACATTGACAATAAGAAAGAAAACAAATCTAGGGTAGCCTGTTTCCAAACAAAATTGCTTCAAATTGTTTAGGCAGGCACTGCTATGGGGATCTGGAGAAAGACATCAGTGGAGCTGAGAATGGTCTGGTGTTTCCCCTGCCCCACTACCCTGTACAGTGAAGGTCTGCACGCTAGAGAATTCAGTGTGGCAATGTGAAGGAAATTATCATAATTTATGGGTAGTTTTCATATTCACAGTAACCATCAGGCATAATATTAAATGCATATTATAAATTGTTTTGTAAGTTCTGCGATTATATCACTAAACTTTACCCTGTTACGTCGGTCTTTCATCGCTGGTATAATGAGATCTTTGGTTACCAATTTAAGGTGCTAATTATAGGACACTGTACAGAAAAACTATATGCTTTCAAATGTATTCCTAGTTCTGCCATTGATAGATACTTTCTATCTCCTCTATTGAGATATCTTCTACCCATATCTTTTTTGGCAACCACTACCCCCAAAACCTGATCTGTCTTTTCCCCAGTGTCATACATCTGGATTGCTGACATCTAAGCTTTTCAAGTCATGAATCTACCTTAATTGCTGCTACTATTTACTATGATTCTTGTTCAGCTTTGTGTATGAAAAAAGTCATCAGGAAACTGAACAGAACATTCGCTTACATTTAAAAAACAGAGTAACATCCAAATCTCTAAAATGCTATTGCAAATCTCCAAACATGTGAAGAGAAATAATGAACACTCTACCTCTGTTTCCAGGAATCTTCTCAAGGCTCTTTTCTTTTTGATGCTCTTCCTTCTAACATAAACTGCAAAGGTCAGACCTACGATGACCAGGATGAAGAGACCTCCAATGACTCCAGCAGCAATTAGGGGAGTCCTGCCAACCAGAATGAAAAAAAAAATACATATGAAGAAAGAAAAAAACAGAAGAAGAGGAAAGATCTGTCGTGCAAGACATTATCCACATTGCATAAATTTGGTCAATTAGAAGAAACGCAAAGAAAAAGAAATAAAAATGCACTAGTGCTTAAAAAAATATCTTTTCTCAAGGCAAAACAGTGTTTTTGTTTTGTTTTGCTTATAAGTAACAAACCATGCACATACAACTAATCTTTGGGGATAAGCAGCCGCAACATACCATTTCATGAAAAAATGTAAAATTTGGTAACAATGTAGGAAATATGCTAAGATGTTAGTATGGGAACATTTTAAACTATTTTAGTTTTACTATTATCCATGAATAAATGGAAAATACATTTTCATATTATCATTGTGGTATATAATTTTTCAGCATTTTTTATAAAGCAACCTCTCAACAGTGGCACTACTGACTTTTTGGGCTAAATAATAGCTTGCCATGGGCACTATTCTGTGCATTTTAGGAGGTTTTGTCCCAGGTCTCTGTCTACTAGATGCTGTAACACCCATCTTCCAGTGACGATAATGTCTCTTGACATTGTCAAATATCTGCCAACATCAATCCTAATAGAGAACTGCTTCTCCAAAGCAAAAATGAGTAGTGCAGAGGCATGTGAATCCCCATAACTCTGAAGTAAGAGGGTACTGATATGACTGGTTGTTATTACTGAAAGTGTAATTTGAAACTTTGATAAGGACAACTCAGAATAATGGGTAGGAGAAACCAAAAAGGGTCAAACATTTTCAGTGTGATGATGACTGGAGTATGTAGTATATAAGCAAGTGTTTCCAAGCATCCTATGTTCACAAAAGAGATCTGCACATTAAATATCACAAAATATAAACAATTACCCAGGAGGCATTCAGATAAGACTAGAAATTTTTGTTCTTAAAATGTTTTTCTAATGTGTTTTTGGCAAAGATACAATTTTGAAGCTGAACATTTCTTACTGTTCTCTAAGGTAAATTATTTCCTTGTTTGAAGAGTAATATTCATGTTTTTTTAACATCTTGTTCTAGAACAAAGCAGTCTTGAAATATATTAATTTCCTATACCATAGCAAAACACACAGAGGTTACCTTAAAAATATTTGACTGGGAAACCTTTATAGATATCAAAACAAAAAAGAATTCCCTGTATGCTTATAGTTTCTAAAGTATTTTATAGCATATATTCCTATTTTAGAAGAACCTATTCTACATAGTTTCATTCTCTTAGAAAAAAATTACTTACACATGCAAAATAAACTTTGGTTCAAAAATGGATAAGAAACAATGATAGTAGATGATCCTAAATAAAACCTTGGAATTCTAAAGAAATCTTGAGACAAAAATCTGTGTAACTACTTCTATAAATGAAGTCATGTCTTCTAAAGATTATGGTTGTTATATTGTCAAATAAAACTGCTGAAAAATCTAAAAAAGTCATTCATCCTAACAGTTGTTTCTTGACAACTCAAAGTACTAAAGCATACTGAAATGTTGCTATAATTCAACTAGATTTTCGTAAATCAGATTTTCTAAAGTTATAAAAATCTATGCTGGGAAAATTAAAGTGTAGTATAGACACAAACTCATCCTTGTGATATTTTTTTTTGTGTATAACACTGAATTTTTTAATGTGCCAGATAAATATGTTCTTCAGAAAATATTTCAGATTTTTGACCAAAGGCATAATTTTAAGCACAAGTGCCTAATGTATTCTTGAAAAGATATTACTGCATAAAGAGCTATGATTTTTTTGTTCTTTAACCCCCTTTTTGGCAAAGAATTTATGAATAATCAAGAATAGTGTTCAATATTTTCTTAACTGTAGATTTAGACCAAACTCTAAACTCTCTGCTTATTTATTTTGTAAAGGAATATTTATATGTGTTTATGAGAATATATGTATATACAACACACACACACACATATATATATATATATATATATATATATATATATCAGTGTCAATGTCACAGTAAATTTTTAAACATGCTCTATCATGATTCTTTGTTGAGTGTTTTTTAAGGATAACTTCCAATAGAACAAAACAAGTAATTTATGTTTTTCTAGTTAATATTTACTTTCATTACTTTCTCACATTAGTTTCTTTGTTTGATTTATATTTCTTTACTGTTTTCTCTCACCATTCTGTGAAAATAGAGGAGCTACAAACAACCTGAAGAAATGAGGAATTTCACTGCTGTACCTAAAGATCAAACATGAATATCTCGTTGAACATTCTCAGAGGCCAACTTCATATTCTCACATAATTTTTCCCCCTTGGAAAAAATAGTTAAACACAAAGAAGCAGGCAGTAAAATCAAGGAGGAGGATTCTCATTCAGTAGGGCAAGTTCTCTACTCCTCTAGTAAGTGATTGTGATAAGAAAAGGGACTGATCCAGATTAAGATTTGACAGACATAACAAGTGAATATGAAGCCCATTCTGGATTGGGATGGTTTGGACAAAGCAACTATAAAGTAGGATAACTTGAGAAGTCCGAATATAGATAATTAAACAGATGGGGTAAATATATGTTGCCATAGGAAGACACAGACTATAAACTGAGAAGATTGGGTTATAGAATAGTTAGATCTTAATATAGGAAAAATTATGCATATATCTGTATTTGTGCTTATAGATATGGATCTAGGTTAATATCAAATAAAACACTAAGTAGTTGTGGATAGTGTGAATATGATGCACTTATTTTATGTATTTATGTATGTGTATTTATTCATTTTCTATAATTTATATTTCTTTGGGAATAAAAGTTCACTCAATTTGAGAAAAATCCAGAAAAATCTATATCATAATCTAAAAGTTTAGTCTTGTAACAAGGGCATTTTATTTACAGTTTTCTCAAATATTTACTTGAATTTTTTTTTTTCAGTTAAGATTTCCTTTTGCTCTTCCCTGTCCACTTTTACCATAAGCATTAATCTGCATATATTTTCTATGCATTATAGCTTAATGTACCCAATAAATTTAATTATCATATGCTTCTTACAATTAATATTACGTTCCCTAAGCCAAGCTAATCTGAAAAAGTTGATCCTATTTAAACATTTTTTATTCCCATCAATTTGAGAATTCATCGATATTTACAGATGTTGAGTAGAGGCCTACTTTTCTTTCTCCTCTTTTACTCCACGTGCAAATGTTTAACTCTTCATGAGGACCTAAGATAAAGAGCTACCCTAAGATAAAGAGTCTTTCAATAGCTGTACATCTGTCCTATTAGCCTATTGCTATTCCTGAGAGTTTTTCTCCTGTATGTGAGTCAGAAGAATCTCCAAGTGTCTCAGATACTAGTGAGATCAGAGGAGTTAAATAATAAGGGACCTGGATTTACTAAAATCGTTTATATAGAAGAATTAGTGTTTGGTTGTTGGTTTGTCTTTGACTGTCCATTAAAAATTGTTGGCACCCCCTACAGTATAAAAGATAGGATAATCAGTGTCAAGTTTAAGCTTAGACTAAAGAGATGTTATCAATCAATGGTTTCTTATTCTGTGATTTGGAAAGAGTAAATAATGAGACCAATATCGCCCGACCATTTAAGGAACTAATATCACAAGGATTGTGAATCATAAATGAACTTTGCTAATCTATTTAAGACATGTAATTTAATTTCAGAAACAAAATAATGTATAATATTCTATTTCCTTGAATGCCATTACCTTATAAAAAGCAGTATCTTCAAACTATATGATTCACTTAAAGACACATTGCTATCATTCGTTACTGTATTTGAACTATGTTGTTCATGTCAATGAGGAATATAAGATGTGAGAAGCTACAACGACAAGTCATTTTAATAAAAATCCAAATTTGTTCCTTCATTGAACTTTTTCCTTCCAGATATCAGACCACAAAAAAGTATACTGAAGTCAATATTATTTATGATTAAAACTCAAAGCATTCTTCAAAAAAATTTTGTTATACCCTTCCAAATGTATGTTAGTAGATGGCTATCCTTTTAAAATGAACAGCATTGCTATTAGTTTTAATTTGTAAAACAAGTATTTTCACTAATAGTCATTGCCAATAATGCTAAATTTATGAGATTTTTTTAAAAAAATGGTAATGCAAATCCATCACCAAATAATCAGCTAATTACATTTATGGTTTTTTCTTCAGTTTTGAATACAGAATAATCTTCGATTTAAGATAAAGGAAATAGTTTGCAGTCCTATAGTACACTGTTGGTATATAATTTGCAACTAATGGTATTGATTTTAAATGAGAAATTTCCACTTTACAAAGCTCATATGTTACTAAATAACTTGAACACTGGTCTTAAGAATTCGTTGAATTCTGTTTCAGTTAAACCTTTTCTGCCTATAAATTAATAGTGAGTCAGACTTAGAGTTGCATCACTATTTGTTTATAGGCAGTAAAGGTTTAACTGAAAATGTGTGTGTGTGTGTGTGTGTGTGTGTATCTTTTATTGTATGTAGGAGATAAAGGCAAAAAAAACAACGGGCTAGTCTGACACATTCAGAATAGGATTTTTTTAAACATAAATTTTCATACCATAAACTTTTCAGGTCTCAAAAAAGGTTAAAATATTGTAAGGTTTTTCTTTAGTTATAATTTCATACTCTGTATGATTTTTCCTTATAGTGATTGAAGCAGAAAGACACTTTGGATTCAGAGTATTCTAAATTTCCATCATTAGAATTTACCATCATTATTTGTGTTTCTTGCTTATGATCTAATTCAGCTTAAATACAAACCCATTCATTCTTCACCAAAACTAATGCAAAGAAAACACAGTAGGGGGCTACCTAGTGAGATCTGCTGAATTTACAGCATGTTTAGTACTATTATTAAATCAAATATTTTTAAGCTTAAATGAGTTGTATGTCCTATTTTGGCGAGGACAACCTTAGTTTATGCACTCAAAGCATTGAAGGTACATCTTTCACTCTCAAAAGACTTCCTTTGTGATCAATAAATCCATTT